AAAGAGAAAACATCGTTGACAAGAGGGTTACCATAAAGATTCGCAGGTTCTTAGTTGGCGCGCGTCCGCGAATCTTTCCTCGCGTGTTCTGCCTGCTGTCGGCTCGGGGCTACGAGTCCTTGCGCGCAACGAAAGCAAAACTGGGCCCCCGCCCCGCTTTCGTTAACAGGGCCCTCGGCCGATCGTAAAATCATGAAAATGAATTATTGCGTCGATAATATAGGTAATGCCGCGCGCGTTCACGAAAATTCAAGGCTCTCCGTCCCCCTCTTCCAGCCCCGTTGCCGCCACCGCTACTCAGCCCGAGCCGGACATTCGGTAGTACGCGTCGCGCGTGTGCGCAGAGAAAGTTTCGTTTGCCCGTGCACGTCCACGCGAAGTCTTTATGCCTTTATTACGGAAGCAGTAAACGAGCCTATTAAGAAAAAAACTGGCCGGTACGAATTTACCGGATCTTGTTATACCTCCAAACAGCGAGCGAATTTTTATGCGCTACGGCGACGATGACGACGGGGGTGAGTAACGGCAGCGGTAGCAAGATACTCAACTACTTGCACTGTGAAATTGCAGTGAAGGGTTCGTCGAAGCGGCTGAAGGGTTAGAGTGTCTAGGGTTACTCAGGTCCCGCTTCAAGGACCGTAACCTGGTTATTCGCTACCTAGAGTCCAAGAGCCAGGCCACTTTTATATTGTTATTGCCGTGTCTTTTTCCCGTAAAATATCGGATTTCCCGAGGCCGATACGTGCATTTATATGTTTATATGCACGTATTTTCGTAGGTCTTTTTAAAACACTTTTAGGGTTAAAAAGGGTTTCGTCCCACGCTGTAGGCCGAAGGCAAAAGAGAAGGGGATTCTCTTTTTTCTTCCGGTTTTATTACAAATTTAACGAACCGGTAGAGAAAGAGAGCTTGGCTTTCCTGCTACAGGCGCTACTTCTAAAATCGTACATTTTTCTTTTATTATACGCATTTCTATTTTCTTTATGTGTTTGGACCTCAAATTGCTCGAATGAATCCCGCTATCCTTTATGCTTCCCTCTCGTGCCAGACCTGTCTCGAGTCTTTGTGTACTTACTGGGTAACTAGATTTTTCTCGACTCTCCTTGACAATGAAAATATCAGATCGATCGAGAGATACCGAATCCCTTTAATAATTTCTTACCGTTATTATCATCTGCCACTCTATTAACATCTACCTGAATAAAGATAAATGATAAAATACTATTGGGACTAGATATGCTATTGTAAGTACAGGATCAATGGAAAATAAATTTATGGAAATTAAAATGATTCGTTGGAATGGCGAATAGTCGTTCCCGTAATGAAGAATAACTGACCCTCGACATTAGCTTCAACGAAATAACAATAATATTTGACACAATAATAGCTATTGGGCTATGAGTATATTAAACGGCAAAATATGGTTGTAGTCTTGGCAAAGGAAATAAGGCAAGTTCGATGTCCTTTGAATTTGCGCGCAAATAAGTCTAAAGAAGCCGGGCCCACGAGTTGCCTATTAACGTTTCGTCTAGTACTGACGGAATACCTCGCTTGAAACCAAATAAGCTATGCTAAGGAGAAAAGAAAAAGGTTGTCTGCGTCAGAAAAATAAAAAAAAAATCAAGAATTCGGTCCGTCGACCACGATAATCCTGACGCGCGTCCTTCAGGCTGCTTCGCATAGTTCACCGTCCAAATTCAAGGACTCGGAGGAGGAGGGTTACAACTACTCCTGTAAAAACGCGCTTCCTGTATTATAGCCTGGGCCTATTATATTGTTACGAAGGACGTGGTTCGGTTTCGTCTCTGACGAGTATTTTTCGCACGCGTCAGCAAAAATAATCACGAAACTCGATCGAATCCGAGATTGGCTCGCGATGCCAATACATTTTATCCCATAGATGCGATTCTAATGCGAGGAATTGCCGGGCCCGGCATTTATTAATTCAAACGATTTATCAATTGCGATCGATCGCATAAAAATACAATTAAAGCGCGTATTTGTTCATATAAGCAAAGATATTAAGAGAGTACGTTACTCAATTATCATTCGTCCTAAATTTGTCAAAATGCTCTTATTAATTTATTTCTCTTGTTAAGATAGTGCACGATGGTAGAAAGGTTTACGGCTCCATATCGAATTAAAGTGAACTTTCATTTTTGTTTTCTCTCTTAGTTTCATCAGCTTACACGTTTTCTATCGATTATTGCACTTTTATTTGATTAAACATGTTTATTTACATGCTTAACAATCGAGGTGAAAGTATTGCAACTACATGGTTCGTCACTTTTATATTAAACGAATATTATTCGATGAAGTGCTCACTAATTGTCGTTCCCAAAGGCAATAAAAGTAAGGTCAAAGCATTAACGCGGTCTTTATCAAAAGGACATGAACATTGGGGTAAATTTATCAGAAACGGAAGCAAGGAACGCGAGGGCAATCGACGGGCACGGACAGTCACATCACGAAGCTCGTAAATAAAATGCCAATAGAACTCGAAGTAAGTGCGCTATAGAGGGAGCGAGTGAGTCCGAACGTAAAGCATATAAGCGTTGGACGAGGAGGGGGAGTTCGGAGATAGTGGCAAAGGCGAAAAATGAAAATTAATGTATCTCCCTCGGCACGTAGCGAAAGGCCTCCAAGTGCGGGCCGGGAAAGGCAGGTGTGCCCGGCAACATTATATGCGCCCTTCAATGTGCTTCGCCTCGCTTCTTGTTCCGTTCCCTCCCGGCTTCCTGGCCCCAGCCCCCTCCCGCACTCTCGGCCATCGAGTGCTCGATGAACTCGCGAGCGCAGGTTCGTCGAACTCGCGTCCACTGACTCTTACCGCACTCTCTTGCTTGCTTGAGAGAGAGAGAGAGAGAGAGAGAGAGAGAGAAGCACGCACGGAGCATAGTCAAGCTATATGGAGCTGCTGAATTCGCGCGTTTTCCCGCGGATCACGGCGCTTTCTTCGCTCGCATTTCCCGCGCGCTCCCACTACTCGCTCCATTTCTCTCGCGGGGGACGGAAGCGCGTGGGTGCGCAAGCGAGTGAAAGGGACCGAAGGTGGATGCATTTCCGCGAAACGGCCGTTTCGAATTAGCCGCATTGGCTGGCGGCAATTTTGAGGGAAATCAATCGAGGCGAGCGCAACTTTGCTTGTAAGATCCTATCGATCAAACCCTACCTTACCCCCATCATCATTTACCATGAGAAATGCTCGTAAGTCGTATTTCATCCTTAAAAGCAGCCGAAACTATTGTTAGCAATTAGATGATTCTCTGGCATAAATTGAAAAGTTCACCATTGGTATCTACAATGAGTATATATTACGAAAGTATAATATTAGCGAAAGCGTTTCTTTGGAAAACGAGAGTCAAGTATAGTCGTCGGCAGTCAAGAGATTCTCATCGAGGGCAGCCAAAAAAGATACGTGCGGCAACTGGAGGGTGGAAGAGAGCCGTCCAGGAAAGGAACTCGAAAGAGAAAGCAAAAGAACGAAAAGGTAAACAATATATAGCTCGAGAGCAAGCAGGCGGCATCAATTGGAACGACGTAAGCGACGCCTCTCACCCATCCCGTTTGCGACGGCTGCTGGTGCTGCTAGTGCTGCTGTTGTTGTTTCGAGGAGGAGGGCACAAATGCCACCGACAGGGATTCCGAGTGATAAAAGAGCGAATAAAGGCTGATCGAGAGAAAAAAAAAATTAAATTAAGAAAAAAAATAGAACAGTGGGATGGAGTGACGTGGAATGAAGTGGAGAATCGAAGAGGACGAGCGACCAACTGGAGCAAAAGGATAGGAAAAAGCAGGCCGGGGCGGCAGTGAGGTGGCGTGTGGGGATTTTGATGGGGATATTGAGGGGGAGGGGGAGGGGGTTACAAAGAAAAAAGAACGAGGGAGCCACGACGTATAGAGAAAATAAAGATAACGAGGCTCGTTCAGGAGCGAGAAAAAAGCCGCGCACACAGGCCAACACAAGCGCGCACCCGTAGCGTAGACGGAGGCTAGGTTGGCTCTCGGCCGGCATGGCCTTGGCCGCCGCTCCGAGGTAATTCAGTCAAGGTTTCGGCCGATGAACTTCCTCTCCGTCGGCGTGCAGGGGAGGAAGGAGCGACGACATCGGCAGCGTCGACAGCAGCGTCGTCAGCGGCGGCTGCGGTAGTGGCAGCGGCGTCGGTGGCGGTGGTGGCGGCTACGACGGTGGGAGGGGGCAGCGCCAATCATCAAGGCGCTCGGTACGCGCTCGGGCCCTCGCCATTGGCTGGCTCTGGAATCGGCATTGTAGAGCCGCCGCCGCTTGTCAGTGACCTCCAGCATTGAAAATGCCATGGACTCTCCCTCTCCTTCTCTGTCTCCATCTCTCTCTCACTCTCTCTCGCTCTCTCTCTCTCTCTCTCTCTCTCTCTATCTTTCCCCCCTGCCATCCTGTTACCCGCCCTCTCTCACACTCATGCGCGCCCCTAAGCTACACGCTACCTCTCACTCTCTCTCTCTCTCTCACTCTCACTCTCTCTCTCCCTCTCTCTCTCTCTCTCTCTCTCTCTCTCTATCTGACACACAATGTCTCACTCTATCTCTCTATGCCTATCGCAGGCGAGCGAGTACACGCTCGCACACAAATGCCTACACGCTCTGTCTCTCTCATTTCTTGGACGATGTGCACGCACACGTGCGCGCACGCTACAATGCCCGATCGAATAGCCGGAGCATAGACGCGGCAAACCTAAACTGTTTCGATGCTCTTGCATTTGCTATCACCGCTGCTAATGCTGCAGCTATTGCTGCTGTTGCTGCAGCTAATGCCACTACTTCAACTTCCCCACTCTCCGCCATTCTCCCTCGCCGGCGTAGAGCGAGCGGAAAGAGAGAGAGAGAGAGAGAGAGAGAGAGAGAGAGAGAGAGAGAGAGAGTGTTTCTAGGGGCTGCATCGGCAAGAGCCGAGAGGGCCAGGTAAGCGGAGCTTCGGCTCAGAGCAACGCGAGCCTCCCTCGAGCCAAGACTCACTTTCACTCTCTCGAGCCGCGCCGAGCGCCGCAGACGCGCCGCCACACGTACACAACACGTACGCGCGCCGAGCCGTAGCCAAGGAGAGGGACGGAGAGCCAGAGCCGCTCGTCTACGGCGGTGTGTGCGTTTTATATATCGCGTGCGCCTGCCACCCTGCGCCGTCATTACTCGCTCGTCCTTCGTCCGGGGAGGTACGTGTATCGCGCGCCCGCAACCCACACGAGTACGCGCCCGCGACAGTGATAATAGAGGCTCGGGCGCGCACCCGCCCACACGACGTGTTTTCATTCGTAGCGGTAGTCCGGCGAGTGTCGAGTTGTGCCAGTCGAGATGCCGGCAGTGCAGTGTTGTGCCTGAGCGAAAGGAGCGGAGTCGAGGAGGCAACATAATCAGGAAGCCGCGATACGGAGAGTCGTGGGAGTCGCCGCGACCGGGACGATGATACTCGCCCCGGACAGCAGTGTCCAACAGTGCGCGGCCCTGGCACAGCCCGCGGCCCCCCAACCTCACTCGCCAGTCATGTCGTCGACTGGTCAGGGTGTCCTCGGCAGTCAGCAGCCCGCGATTGCCCAACTTCCGAGGCTGCCGCCCGAATACGTGCGCATGGCCGTCACATCGTGCGCCAGCGTCCACTGTCCCCCTCAAACGCCACAGTCACAGCAACAACAGTTCCAGGTCGGCACGCCGACAGCGACCGCCACGGCCATGCCCACCATGGACTCCACGGTCTCGTCGGCACGACCTGAGCCCGAGCTCAACATAGGTACGAGTGTCGCGACGTCCTTCCATCCTCCTCACCCTACCACAGCCCCTAACCACTAACCCCTCGATTCCATCGTTTCACGCAACCCCGGCCAACCTCACCACGGTCAAACCAGGCCGCCAATCGTTCAATGCCCTTCGTTGCTCGTCGAACACACGCGCAGCGGCCTTGGCCCTGCGAATGCACAGCGCTCTCGTCGCCGGTTACCAACTACGTTCATAGCCCCCTTTTGAGGTTATGGCTTGTTTTTGTTTTGCCTACCTTATGTGTCGTGACTCTGCCCCAATCGCCCCGTCAATTTTGCACTTTCTCACTGAATCTCGCAGACCGACTTTCGACTCGGTAATTTCGGGGGACCATAGACACAGTTCGTTATATTATCAAAAATACCACCTGCGTTATACACTGGCCATTCATTATTCAGAATTTGTTTTAGCCTCGTATTATTTCGATACTGCTAGTCAGCAGAATTCTTAACAATATCTCGAATCAATGGAATTGTAGAGAATATCTCGACATTATCATACTTCATCTGTTCATGATTTGATGGCTCAGAAAGCAGCGAATGTTCCATCAAATGGATGAGTTAGCTGAAGAATTTCTCATCATAAAATATTTAATCTCTAAATTTATTAAATAAAACAGAGAGACACAAAAATTGTTTTCAATAATTGGAGGCGCAAATGGACTGGTGTTTGTTTTTTATTAACCTTGTATGATACCATCTATTTTGGTCGGACGTATGTCGGAGCCATTCAAAAATCTAAATTTGGATGAATCGCAAACCCGCACGTCGTTAATCTCCAATAAACTGTAATAAACAATTTGTTTTCATTGGAATTACGTCCGAACGCTCCTTATCGTAAGTGCTATTTATCAATTCGATTTCCAAGCAAACAAACGTCCACAGCCTCTTTCACGCCTCTATGGAAGACAAAAAAAAAATTAGCAACGAGAGAAAAATTTACCACTTGACGAGAAGAGAAAAAAGTTCGCGGCTCTGGCGATAAAAGGATAAAAGTTTGTCTCGCGCGCTAGAAAGGCGAGAGATATCGCGATGGTTTATCTCGCAGCTCTACACGAACTCGCGCGCGAGTGAAAGCAGAAAGTTGTAACGAGGCGCTCGCGCGAACGATGCTGTAACTCTCACGTCTCGCCGGAGAAAGTGTTCTTCTTTCTTTCCTCCAGTGATATCTACTCTCGCGTATCTCGGATACGCGCGTGCGTTAACCACGTGTGTTGCGATATTGTTTTGGCTTGTTCAACTCTTCCCCCTGCTCTCACTCTCTCTCTCTCTCTCTCACACACACACACACACACACACACACACACACTCTCTTTCGCTCTTATTCTCTCTCCCTCTCTCTCACTCTCCTCCTCCATTATGCTTTCTTTGCGAGGTCGAAAACTTTGCTCAGAAGATCTTGATATAAAGTTTAAGAAAGTGTTTTCAAGCAAAGCGAAATCATCGTGTTCCATCATTCGTAGATTAAAATTTCGCACTCCAATGTTTAAGCCGGATTTTTACGTGTCATGTTTAACACCAAGCTTATAATAGCCAGCGTATCAATATTCTCATGTTGCAAAAGAGAGGCAGAGAGAAAGAGAGAGAGAGAGAGAGAGAGAGAGAGAGAGAGACAGAGAGAAGGAAAAATATAAAGAAATGAAAATAAAAGAAATAAAAAATGCAGTCTTCTTCTTTAATTGAATTTTAGGTTTATGTGCATTTTTCAATTCAATTTACATTGAATCGATTGAATGACCTTTGAGTAAAAAACGTGCGATTTAGTTCTAAGTATTGGCAACCGTGGACATTTACCCTTGGAAGACGGCAAGCCGTGAGAGACGCTGAAGTCAAGAGCTCGCCAATATTTTATCACCCATTGTATTGTAATAAAGCGTATGTCGAGATACGAGGCATCGGGCGAATCCGATGGAATATCGGCCGCCGGTTGACATAATTTAAGAATGCCCCTTAAGTCCAAGTCTCGACTAACGACACACTCCCTTCTGCTTTTGCTTTCAGAATTCGATGGAACGACGGTGCTGTGCCGCGTTTGCGGTGACAAGGCCTCAGGCTTCCATTATGGCGTCCATTCCTGCGAGGGATGCAAGGTAAGCTAAAACCTTTTCGTCAGATAATTGCGCCGTCCGAATAGCGTTGCGTCTCGTTTACTTGGACTGCGCGAGTCGAATTTCGCGGGGCTGCGCACAAAAGCCGCGGGAAGGCCAGGAAGTGAATGGGAAGCAAGGCGGGTTGAAGGCCGAGAATGGAGCTATAGAGCGATATGCCGAGGCAAATCACCGGACCTTCGGCTCACGGAAATCGCACCTTTAAGTATGAGAAAAGGAGGAGGAGGAGGAGGAGGAGGTTAAGGATGTAGAGAGGGAGGAAGATGAGGAGGAGGAGGAAGAGAAGAAGGATGATGATGATGAGGATGAGAGGCAGACTCCCAAGGTTCCTTCGTTAAATTTAAACCGGCGCGCGTCTCTCCCCCTCTAGCTCAAGGATATTTCGTTTTCTCGATGGCTTCTGTTCTCTCGTTCTTATTATTGTTCGTATAAAATGGGTCGACCGATGGTTATTGGATACACTTGGACTGTTTAGGCGAGAGAATTTAAAGGTATAGCTATCCCGCGAAATAGATTTGTATGTGTGATTCGATTATCTATTTACAATCTCAAAAAGTGTGTTGTTACGTCAATTCGAAGCGATATTAGGAAAACGAAACAGTATTTATGTAAAAGTTTGCAACTTTATGTTCCTCTTACTACTATTTTTATTTCTTGTGCCGATCGAAATATTTTATAGTCATTCGTAGCTCATTTTTAGAGATCATCTTTCATTAGAATAAACTCGCGCGCTCGCAAATCTACATACAACTTACATTAATGTTAATTGAAAATTCATTTAATTAATTACGATTTTTAGTACATTTGTTGGAAAGTCGCGAAAATGCGTCTTTAAAACATTTAAATTTTAGCATTGAAAACGATAAAGATGTTTGCAGTTTTTTTCATTTCATTTCTACACAAATACGCAAGCAAACAAAGACTAATCTTGTCTGCTTACTCCCCCTTCCTCTTGGCCCCCTACTCTATCATACCGCTTTTTATTATTTTTTTTATGTTTCTATCCCGGGACAATCTTCTATTTCTATGCGTAATACAAACGCAACAAAAACAGAAATATATTAGGGCATCGAAATCTATAGTAATACATGAGTCTATCTTAAATTACCAAGTAAAACATTGCGTTAGTGGACATTTAGAAAAAATCTTAACATTTGATACATAAGGAAAAAATAAAAACGGGAAAAAATAATGAATATTTTACGTATACGAGTAAGAATACGTGGCGAATTTTTACAACAGACGAAGAGGAAGCCTAAACAGGTATATAAATGCCGAGGCCTTGCCCGCTTTTCCATCTCCGTTTTGTAGTGTAACAGCTGTTTCATTCGATGCCATTCGGAAAACCTCCATCTTATTTTTCTTTCTCCTTCTTTCGAATTCTTAGACCTTTAGTCTTTTTAGAAAGCTATTGTTTTGGATGAAATATTTATCGAATAGTGACCCAATGACTAAGTACACTGATTATACAAAATAAATAATATATCGTATGATATTAGCTTTTTTTATGTTTTTGTTTTTTTTTAACGGCTTTACTGGAATTAGAATAATAATACAAAAATTCCTATGATCGGTAACGTAACGACATTTAAGGTAGGACACAAAAGAAACTCGATGAAAGGGAAAGAATGAAACTCTTCCTAATATGGTGAGGGGAGGGGTTAGAGAGTGAGAGAGAGAGAGAGAGAGAGAGAGAGAGAGAGTCGGACAGAGAGACCGACAGACAGGCGTGCGTTACTTACACAATTCGCGTACAAACAAACGAAAAGATTTCTCGTTCACTCGCCTCACCGTCATTCTCCCTTGAAATACATTGGTCGTTGCCCTCGAATGTGTTTCCCGTTTCCTTCGATCCTGGAAAAATCTCGACGAATGCTACAAGTGCATCTTATTCGCTTCCTTACCATTTTTAACATTTTACATTTCAAAAATATCCAATGGCAACTGCAAGAACTCTTATGTAAACCAAATTAAGAATTTTATCAATTATGAATTTATTTTATTATATATTGATTATAACAAGCTGATACTTATTGGTTAACCATTCTAGTACCTACATTGAATTATTATCTGGAATATACAGTCTATGGTATATAATATATGAAAGTTTATCTAAGATCTAAGATTTTTAGTATTTTCGAATAAGGCACAGTTTAAAGTTTGAAAAAATAATCATATCGTGATTAGTTATTTTATCACACTGGCCAGTCATTTATTTAAATGGACGTAATAGCACTTGTGATAAAACGATGAATTTGCTATAGTAGCCAATGGAAGATTGGACTTGTGCACCTGTCGTCGCCCTTCCTTCCATTCCGCAGCGAGCAACATTTCCGAAATATTTGTAAAGGAAAAAATCATACAATCACTTCCGATCTACAGAATGTGGCCCACGTCGATTTCATTACGTAAAAAAAAACCACCCGAAAACTTCTATTTTAAGTCCCTAACGAAAGCAACACTAAACGCTCTCGGTTCGCCGCACACACTTGCTCGCGCAGACATACATTAACACACAGCTTATAAGCTAGGACGACGTAGAGGAAGAGAAAGAGAGAGAGAGAGATAGAGAGATAAAGAGATAAAGAGATAGAGAGAGAGAGAGAGAGAGAGAGAGAGAGAGTATGCGCGAAGGAAACGGACAGAGACAGAAGCAGACGAGCATACAAAACTCGAGCGTCTCGGTCTCACGAAGCGTGGCGAGCGGGGGCTCGTCGAAGGCCGCGAGCTCGCGTCGAGTCAACGTCCTCTTTCTCTGTCTCTATCTATCTATCTATCTGCCTCTATCTCTATTTCTCTCTCTAGAGTTTACTCGTTCACTCGCGGCCCTGGGCTATAAGCTCGAGGTGGGGAATCATCGTCGCGAAAGTCATCGGCAGTGGGGGCACGTACGTGTGGGTCGGAGTATCGCGCCCCTCCTGCAGCGCTATGAGCGCCAGTTGGACGAGAACCTCGGGAGAGTGCGCCAGGTGTTCGGAAGGTGGTGAAACAACAACTGCCTTCAAAGTCCAAATGTCGCTCCCGGGACACGTGCATCGTAGCTTTATTACGGCACTTTCAATTATGCGGTTATGTTAGTAATGCGAACCCTATAACGAATCGTGCATTCGTCCTTATGAACCTAAGATTTTGGTTCGCTTTTGACTTCGTAACTCACGTAACAGATAAGTTGGTTACGTAGAGTTGTAAGCCCCCCCCCCTCCCAGTAAAGTCGCTCTCGTAGAAAATCATTTGCACGTCGAAGGAAAGGAATGTAGCGCGCATTCCGACGGCTTTCCGTCTATTCGTCCTTCCTCGCGCACCTCCTGCACCGCGCGAGTCGAGCCCGCTGTGAGTTGAAGAGGACAAAGGAGGTCCGCGCAACAGGTCCCGGCTATCCTCGCAGCGGCCACGAAATGATGCCCCGCCGCCGCAAGGTACGTCGGAGGAGGCCAATTCGGAATTCGAAATGACAATGGCTACGAAGTGGGGGGAGGGTTGGAGGCCGCGGGGGTTGCCGGCCGCACCCCCGGGGTAAACTCATTCTTCGTCTTCATTCTTGGCGCGCACCGCATGAATTTACGTTTGTTTTCCCTTCCTTTGCCACTTCTGGACAATCGCCGAGTGACTCGTCCGAATCAACCTTGATTTACCGGGTCCCTTCCATCACCACTGCCAAGTATTGCATTTTTTCGTTGCCACGAGAGAAAAGAATAATGAATAACTAAAAGTGAAAAAAAATATAAATTATACAAACAAGTATTAAAGAAATTTACCTTTCATACTTATTTTGCTCAAGCGGTCGAGTAAATTAGTTTTCTCTTGTGCATCGATCCACATCACGGCATATACAATGTTATATGCGCATTCGAATCATCATAGTCGAATTCGAAGTATTTTTCAAGATTACAGTTCCGTCAGGAAGGAAGCTAAAGGATGCCTCGGAAATAACGGACAGCCTTAAAGCGACTCCTGTGCAAACTTCATTTTATAATTTTTCCAAATTGGTGGGCGCGATATTGTAAGAAGATATTGGCTGGCCTATTCACACAATCCATAGTAGCCATTTTTTACATCGATATATTTGTATTGTCAACGAATTGCGAGTACTTGATAGTGTCCTGTCACTGTCGAAATTTTGAAATGACAAAAACGTCTATTTTTGAAAAAGGAATCTCCTTTGCTCCTACATTACCGCTAAATATTATTAAAAAATACCAATATTGCCAAGCGACTTACAATAATATTAAGCCAAGGGGAGAATAAGATTTGTCTTACCTTTTTAGCACGACGATGAGTCATTGTGAAATAGTCCATTGGTTTTTGCATTATCACGCTCGACTCGTTATAAATAAACATAAAATTGAATTTGGTGAAACAGTGACTGTGTGTCTCTCTGCTATCCGGTCTGGGTCATTAAAAAATTATTTGAATTCGACCCTAAAGCTTGGGTAATATATTCTCGATTCATCGTAATAATCGATCGAAGCAAACGTAAGAGTCGAATTTTTTGACCCTTTAGACGAGGTGAAACGAAACGACGACAAGTTAGTTAAACAAGCGTCCTTGGGATTGTATTCATCTGTGCTGAAATGGCCACATCTGCCAGTCTTAGAAGAATATAATACAATGACGAAATTTGTTATGATAAAGCCGTCCGTGTTTTATGAAGACGATATTTCATCGTAACGAGTCGCTCCTTGCGTATCGTGTTACGCGCCGCGATGATCGTTAATCACGCATTGTCACCATTAGGTGGAGCAAAATTGTTTCCCACAAGCGGCGCGACTCTATGACGGAGGGCGGGGGACGCGAGACGGATAACGGGAGGGGGAGAGGGAGGGGAGGAGGAAGCCGAAAGGAAGGGGCGCAAGGAGAGAGCGGAGAATGCCCTTTATCGATTTCACCTGGAATGACCGAGTTTCCACACACACGTACGTACACCCGCAAACTGGGGGAGCTGGTTTCGCTTCGTCCATCCCTTGCCGGGATTTTGAATTTGA